AATATCAACAAAGGAAAATGGACCTTTGATACACATCCAAAAAATACATTCAAAACATATCGCAGAAGGGAAATAAGATATCTTTTAAGGTCTAATGAAAGAATTGATTTTGTAAAAAAAATATTTTTGAAGGTCTCGAAGGCATGGATTTAAAAATAAATATATTTTTAGGATCTAGAAGGTGCAGGGGCAGGCGTCTACTGTGAAAGGCTAGGCCTTGAGTTAACCTACAAGCTGTATTGCAACTGTAGTGTTTTCCAAGTTGAAATCTTCGCGATTTGGAAGGCAGCGGAATTGATAAAAAGTCTGGATGCAGAGGACGTTGAACCGGTGACCCATCTTCGTGGATAGTCAAGCGGCTGTTAAAGACATCAAATCTTGTTATATAAAATCTGAGGCCGTTCTCAAGTGTAGAACTGCTTTGGAAGAACTTACGTACAGCGATCGGTTGTGTTGGGTACCAGGACACCCAGGCATCTTGGGTAATGAAAGATCAGACGAACTAGCTAGACGAGGATCTCAATCCACAGTAATTGATGACTCAATCAAACCACCCATATGTCATCTTTACCGGAACTTTGAGGCGTTCTTCGACGAAAGAGCCTATGAACTTTGGCACAACAAACATAGATGCAACGTGTCAAGTTAGATTTGGCCGACTCTGTCTACCAAAAGGACGCACTCACTGTTGAACCTGAGCAAAGCTGAAATAAGAGTAATGACAGCGATCATTACTGGTCATTGCAATATCAGGGTCTTTACTAGTAAATGGGATCTTGATGTAATTGATTACTGTAGACTCTGCTTTGACGAGGAGGAGACGGAGACAATTGAGCATCTCCTGTGTCACAGTCCAGCCCTGACTTACAGGCGGCATAGACTAGTGAGTGCTTATTTTCCACAGAGTCTTAGCTGCTTCTCAACAACTGAACCTGCTCTAATCTACAGCATAATTAGATACCTAAAGCGGTTGGGAAAGTACAACCTTGACACGTAATATATCTTCTGTCGGATGTCTGTAGCCATCGACATTATTCCAAACTTACCTTCTTATATCTTCTTGTAAGCTTCTCATCTCTCTTTATTTCCCCAATGTTCTCTGCCCTATAGATCTCTCCTTATCTCTTTTCTTCTCGTGGATGATCACAACGGACCTGACGTTTTCAGAGTGCTGCAGCCACATAAGTGACTGCTCATCCACAAACCTAACCTAAAAAATCCTCACCTTCTAGTGAAAGTGTGGATATAAATAAAAATAGTTTTGAATGTTTAGTAATGGCTTGAATTTAAAAAAAAATATATATTTTTTTGAGAACTTTAAAAAAATTATGTGAAGGCATAGCAAATTTTTTTAAGGTCTGGCGAAGGAAAGGATTTTTTTGAAGGTCTATCGTAGGCGAGGATATTTTAAATTTTTTTTTTCAGGTTCCACTCAGTGCGTGGATTTTAAAAAAAAAAAATAATTTTTTTAAGATGTAGCAAAGGTGAGAATTTTTTGATAAAATATTTTTTGAAGGTCTAGCGAAGGCTAGGATATTTTTAAAAAAATATTTCTGAAGGTCTAACGAAAGTGAGGAAAAATATTTTTTGAAGTTCTATCGAAGGCCAGAATGTTTTAAACAAATTTTTTTAATGTAAATGGGTAGATTAAAAAAATCTATACTTAACCACGGGGTAGATTCATAAAAAAATATTTTTTCAATACTTATTTGTAGTTTTTCAATACTTAATCATGGCGTAAATGTTTTAAAACATATTTTTTAATACTTAAATAAGACGAATATAAAAAATTATTTTAATAAATAACCAATGTGTAGATTTAAAATTTTTTTTTTTCAAAACTCGACCAAAGCGCAGATTTTTAAAAAAATATTTCTACAGGCAGTCACCATCAGGTATGTAAAGCCAGGTATGTATAGAGCGGGATTAGTTGGTCTATATCGACTGCCATCAGCTGGTATATTTATACAGCCAAATTTTTCTGTTGGGCGCCAAATGTGGGATCTGGTGGTTTAGATTATTAAACAAATTTGGTAGGACGTTGTGTCACTTAGTTGTCTGGGTACACTTTTTAATTCGTCGTATTTATTTATTTTTTTGGTTGGCCGCCATCTGTAGGCTTTAGTGCTCCAGAGAAAGGATTTAGAAGGTAGGACGTTGCACCACATAGGTGTCTGGGTACCCTTTTCAAATCGTCGTATTTTATATTTTATTTGTTGGGCGCCATCTTTGGGCTCTGGTGGTCTAGATATAGGATTAAAGAGGCAGGACGTTGCGCCACTTAAATACATATTTTTTGGACTTTTTGGTCTAGAGGTAGAGTTTAGAAGGTAGGACGTTGCTTCACTTAGGTGTCTGGTTATACTGTTGTTGGGCGCTATCTGTGGCCTCTGGTGTCCGAGAGTTAGGATTTAGAAGGTAAAACGTTGCGACTCCTAGGAGTCTGGGTACGACTTTTAATTCGGAATTTTCTACACTTTTCTGTTGGGCGGCATATTTACGCTATGGTGGGCTAAATATAGGATTCGGCTTTCAATTCGGAATTTCCTACATTTTTCTGTTGGGCGCCATCTGTAGGCTGTGGTGGTCTGGTGATATAATTAAAAAATTAGGTAGGGCGTTGCGTCATTTAGGTGTCTGGATACACTTCTCGATTAGTCGTTTATTTTATATATATTTTTTATTGGGCGCCATCTGTGGCGTCTGTTGGTCTAGTGTTAGGATTTAGAAGATAGGACGTTGCGTCCCTTATGTGTCTAGGTACCCTAACTGTTCAATTCGTCATATATTATATATAGATTTGTTGGGCGCCATCTGTTGCTGCTGGTGCTCCAGGGATAGCTGTCTGTGTACCCTTTTTAATTCGTCGTGTTTTATAAAGTTTTTGTTGGTCGCCATCTGTAGATTCTGGTGGTCTAGCGTAAGGGTGTAGAAGGTAGGATATTGCGCCCCTAGGGGTCTGCGTACGGATTTCAATTCGACATTTTCTACACTTTTCTGTTGGGCGCCATTTTTACGCTGTGGTGGGCTAAATATAGGATAATGAAGATTCGCTAAATTTTACATGATATTTTACTTGTCCGTGGGGGAACGGGTTTATAGTGAAGAGTTTTACATGAGGTGGAAGTTGTAGATTGTTCCATAACATTCGCCTATGCAATTCACCACATTATATCCATTACGGCGAAATACGTCTAGTATAATACATAAGTTTTCTGTTGGGCGCCATCTGTAGGCTTTAGTACTCCAGAGATAGAAATAAGAAGGTAGGATATAATGCCACAAGTTTCTGAGTTCGTCTTCCGATTCGATGAAAAGACCGCCAACATTTGGTCTATAGAGACAGTCAACAGTTGGTCTATATAGAAAGTCAGTAGCTGGTTTATAAAGACAGCTTTCAGTTAGTCACCACCTGTTCTGTTCAGAAAGCCATCGGCTAGGATGTCATAATCTGGCCCTCAAATACAAAACAAAACGTTTCATAATATTTAAATATTGTCTATATATTTTTTTCAAACTTTTCCAAATACTATCTACCGTGCAAGTTGTGCGTTAATGTTTTTATTATTAAATTTTTATTATTTTTTGTTTATATTCTAAAATAAAAAATGATTTTGCAAAACAAAAAATAGCATCCCAAAATTGCGGAAAAACAAGAAAAAAAACTGGAAATAAAGATAAATGCAAAAAAAAAAAAAAAAAATGTGAACTTATCACCGATGTTGATGGGCTCATCATCATCACATTGTTTACTGCTGCCCGGTTGGCTGACTGGCAGCTAGGCTCGGGGTATTATAAATTTAGAAATGTTGATATAAATATAGGCGACAAGCGTTTGTTTGTTTTTTTTTGTTATTTTCTAACTTTTATTACATACTAACATAGTAAATTTTCATAACATAGCGACGACGATCAGAACGATCACAGCCACAGCCAGAAAGAAAGTAAGAATGCCGCTGAGGCCTGCTGTTATCACTGCGCAAACAACAATAATAAAAAAACAACAACAACAACAACAAAAACAACACACAAAGTCTACGTTGGGAGAACTCTGCTCAGTCGATGGTGTTATTAAGCAGATCCATGTCAAATGCCTAGCATTCTGCTCGTGATATTCCAAACGGACAGATCAAATCAAGTGACAGTGAAATTAGTCTAGTCGGCCGATAAAGTGACTCTCTTTCGGATTGGGATCGGTAGTAACTGACTATCTTTCATCACAGCACCACCTACAGAAAAAGGTTGGTTGGTCGGTCGATCGGTCGTTCGTTCGTTGTCGGCATACTACTATCGTATAGATCCAATCCAAGAGGCTAAACGGTTGACGTACATTTCGGATCATCTGTGTGATCTTGGGTTTTCGGTATTCTTGAGTGATTTGAAAAAAAAAAATGAAAATTTGAAAAAAAATAATAATTAAAATTAAAAGCAAGACGCAATCATTACCGTCATCATCATCATCATAATTATAATTATTTGCTGGACATTGCTGGCTGGATGTGTGTGTATGTTTGTGTCCGGAAAATCTACCCACATTTTTTTTTGCATCTAATTAAACGGCCAAGAAATTACAATAAATGTTTTATAAAAAAAAATATGAGATATTTTTAAATAATAATTACCGTCATAATAATAATAATTAATTGCCGGACAGAAGCAAGTGCTTGGGTGTGTGTTCTGAAAAAATCACTCAATCCACATTCTTGTGATTCTAACTAATAAAACTAACTGATAAATTACAAATATTTTTTTTTAATAATAAAACTTGATTTTTTTAATAACTGAAATTATATTTTTCTTGGGAACAGCTGATTTTTTTTTTGAAAAAAAAATCGTTTGCGAAAAAAGTAAACAATTAATTTCAAGTGCTCTAATAAATTTTGCCAGATTGTGTGTGTGGCAAAAAATAAAATCGAATAAATGAAATTAATCATATCACAAACTGAAAACTTAACAGAAATCAATTTAATTTATTAGCCGGCCGAATCAGGAAATCAAACATGTCTAATGGTAAGTGTGTAAACGGAAAAATTATGAATGGAATTAAAAAGAGGCGTGGATTTTTTTTAAAATAATTTTTTAGGGACCCATATATGACGTGGATTTTTTTAAAAATAATTTTTTAGGGACCCATATATGGCGTGGATTTTTTTAAAAATAATTTTTAGGGACCCATATATGGCGTGGATTTTTTTAAAAATAATTTTTTAGGGACCCATATATGGCGTGGATTTTTTTAAAAATAATTTTTTAGGGACCCATATATGGCGTGGATTTTTTAAAAATAATTTTTTAGGGACCCATATATGGCGTGGATTTTTTAAAAATAATTTTTTAGGGACCCATATATGGCGTGGATTTTTTAAAAATAATTTTTTAGGGACCCATATATGGCGTGGATTTTTTTAAAAATAATTTTTAGGGACCCATATATGGCGTGGATTTTTTTAAAAATAATTTTTAGGGACCCATATATGGCGTGGATTTTTTAAAAATAATTTTTTAGGGACCCATATATGGCGTGGATTTTTTTAAAAATAATTTTTTAGGGACCCATATATGGCGTGGATTTTTTTAAAAATAATTTTTTAGAGACCCATATATGGCGTGGATTTTTTTAAAAATAATTTTTTAGGGACCCATATATGGCGTGGATTTTTTTAAAAATAATTTTTTAGGGACCCATATATGGCGTGGATTTTTTTAAAAATAATTTTTTAGGGACCCATATATGGCGTGGATTTTTTTAAAAATAATTTTTTAGGAACCCATATATGGCGTGGATTTTTTAAAAATAATTTTTTAGGGACCTATATATGGCGTGGATTTTTTTAAAAATAATTTTTTAGGGACCCATATATGGCGTTTTTTTTTTTAATAATTTTTTAGGGACCCATATATGGCGTGGATTTTTTTAAAAATAATTTTTTAGGGACCCATATATGGCGTGGATTTTTTAAAAATATTTTTAACAGACCAATAATTTCTGATTTTCTATACCCTACACAACTATGTTGTCAGGGTATTATAGCCTTGTGCAGCCCCAAGAGTTTGTAACGCCGCGAAATATTGGTCCTAGACCCACCTTTATGTATACCGATCGTCATATCTCGACTAGCTGAGTCGATCTAGACATGTGTGGACGTCCGTCCGTCTGTCCATTATAATTTGTAAACACAATTCAGGCCACAGTTATGGTCCAATCTTCACGAAATTTTGCATGTAGGATGGGTTCTGTCCAATGAAGACCCCAATTGTTTTTGATAAAAATCGGTTAATATTTAGAGGATGAAATTGACCAAATACTTATTTTTCAGTTTTTCTGGTCGCTCCAGAGGCCGCAATTAGGGCCCTTAAAGGTGGGTCTAGGACCGATCATCATATCTCGACTAGCTGAGTCGATCTAGACATGTGTGGACGTCCGTCCGTCTGTCCATTATAGTTTGTAAACACGATTCAGGCCACAGTTATGGTCCAATCTTCACGAAATTTTGCATGTAGGATGGGTTCTGACCAATGAAGACCCCAATTGCTTTTGATAAAAATCGGTTAATATTTAGAGGATGAAATTGACCAAATACTTATTTTTCAGTTTTTCTGGTCGCTCCAGAGGCCGCAATTAGGGCCCTTAAAGGTGGGTCTAGGACCGATCATCATATCTCGACTAGCTGAGTCGATCTAGACATGTGTGGACGTCCGTCTGTCCATTATAATTTGTAAACACAATTCAGGCCACAGTTATGGTCCAATCTTCACGAAATTTTGTATGTAGGATGGGTTCTGACCAATGAAGACCCCAATTGCTTTTGGTAAAGATCGGTTAATATTTAGGGGATGAAATGGACCAAGTACTTAATTTTTTTCAGTTTTTCTGGTCGCTCCAGAGGCCGCAATTAGGGCCCGAACATTGCGAAATTTTACATGGAGAGGGGGATCGGGGTAGAGAATAGGCATGCCTATTTTGATAAATAGAACCTGACTTTTATGTGAAAAATTACAAAAATTTGTATTCTATGGCATATATATTTACTCCTGCAGGATGTAGACCCTATAAGTTGATAGTATATCCAAGCGGAGTTGTTTACCTTTAACTTGATACCAATTATATTGTCGTATGTACTCGGGTATGGGAGTTACACTCAAATATTTACAGGTACTTGCGTAGTCAGATATTATTTAATAACCCTGGCCCGGAATAAATATCCGCAGAATGTTAGAGTTGCGTGGTAGTTGTCTGGGGTATCGTATGGTCGGTCCGTCCGACTATACTGCTACGATCACTGGTTTTAAATATTTCTCATTTGCCTTGTGTGATTCTTCCTTAAATATCGCTTTCGAAACCCAAATAGCTGATTCGTGATCTTAGGAATATCCTTGTTGTGCTGTGCTATCCTGAAGCTTCTTCTTCGCAGATTTTCAGCGATTATCTGATCTTTTGGAGATCTAACATACTACGCCGTTTCCGACGTACAGGTGTCATCTGCTGTATCTGTTTACTGTGATTCTTCCTAATTTTTCGGTTCATTCTGGCCAATTTGTAGCCCTATGCTTGTTAATATCCTTGTGCATCACTGAATATTCGATTCATCCTGGCCACTTTTCGCCTTGGAGCCACAGATAGTTACTATTTTTTGTCGTGAGTTTGACTAGCTAACTCCGTCTAACTCTTTTTTTGCCTCTTCATAGGAATATCCTTGCCTTCTGGGCTATCCTGAAGCGTCTTTTTCGTAGATGTTCAGCGATTATCTGATATTTCGAGGATTTCAGAAAAACTACGCCGCTTCCGAGGTACAGGTGTCATCTGCTTACAGTGATTCTTCCTAATTTTTCGATTCATTCTGGCCAATTTTTAGCCGCTTGTTACTATCCTTGTGTATGACTGAATTTTCGATTCATCCTGGCCACTTTTCGTTTTAGAGCCACATATAGTTACTATTTTTTTGTCGTGACTTTGGCTAGCTAACTCCGTCTACCTCTTTTTTTGCCTCTTCACAGATCCGGCATTCTAACATGGTTCTGACGAAGTTTGAGAGTTCGCCTGTCTCGGAAAGTTAGTTCGAAAAGCCTCGAAAAGTTAGTTCGAACTCATTTGCTAATTGGTAGGGTTCTACAGATGCTAGGGTTCTACGGATGGTAGGGTTCTACAGATGGTAGGGTTCTACCAAGGCATTCACATCTGTGCAACCTTTAGGTTAACCTTAAAATCTCCCTTCAGTTCACCTATAAAGACAGTACACCAGGTAAACATCAGATCGTATATAAAGACAGCCAACACTTGATCTCTTAAGCCAGCCTTCGGATGGTCTTTGGCAGACCTGGCTAGTTTATAAGTACCACCATCAACTGGTATATAATTTCCCCTTCTGTTCGCCTATGAAGACATCTTTCAGATGGGTTCATAAAATATCCCTATAAATTTTACTTGCCTAACTTCATGAATTCCCTCTTTAATTCGGTTATAAGTAATATCTGCATTTGTCCCATAAAGACCTTAGACTTTCTGTCTGTCCTATAGAGACTCCCTTCAGCTCGCTTATAAATACTCCTTTCAGCAGGTCTATAGAGGAGACATTCATAAGCTCGTCTGTAATGACTCCCTTAAACTTGTCTGCAAAAACTCCCTTTTGTTCTTCCAAAAAAACTCCCTTTGGAGATCAATGAGCACTGCATACCTTTAGGCAAAACAAAATGTGCAACTCACAGCTGATCGGGTACGAAGAGCATATTTTTGACGCAAAGAATGTCAGAACCTCATTACTGATTAAAATTGCTATTTATCAAGGCCTATCTACACGTAAAAAAACGCAAAAACCCATGGGAAAAATTCTACACAGCTCGTTAATAAATTCCCGCTTTGGAGATCAATGTCTTCTGCATACTTTTAGGCTAAACAAAATGCGCAACTCACAGCTGATCGGTTCCAAATATCATATTTTTGGCACAATGAATGTCGGAACCTCATAATAGTTTAAAAATTATTTCATTAAGACCCATTTAAATATTCAAATTTAGAAACCATGGATAACAATTCTATTTAGCTCGTCCAAAAATATTATCTTTATAGATCCACGCCTTCTGCACACTTTTAGGCAAAACCAAATACGCAACTTACAGCTGAACGGGTCCGAATAGCATATTTTAGATACAATGAATGTCAGAATCTCATTATTGTTTAAAAATTATTTCATTAAGGGCCATTTTCATATAAAAAAAAATTCTAAAAACCATGGATAAAAACTCTTTCATAAATATTCTCTTTGAAGAAGCTGATCAGATATGAATTGCATTTTTTTGACATAACGAATGTCATAACCTTATTTTTGCTTAAAAATTATTTTATCAAGACCCCTTAAAATATAAAAGAATCGAAAAGTCATGTACAACAATTCTCTTCTGCTCGCCCAATTATATACTCCCTTAGGAGATCAATGAATGCTGCATATTTTTAGGCAAAACAAAATGTAAGATGAACAGCTGATTATGTCTGAATTGTTTATTTTTGGCACAATGAATGTCATAACATCATTATTGATTAAAAATGATTACCTTAAAGTCCATTCAAATATAAAAAAATAGAATCGATGTGGATAAAAACTACCTTTAACGATCAATGTGTTCTGCATACTTTTAGGCAAAATAAAATGTTCAAAACACAGCTGATTGGGTCTGAATAGCATATTTTTGACACTTTGAATAACGTAACCTCATTATTGATTTTAAAAAATTCACAAATCCGATACTTTATTTAATTTCAAATATTTTTTTTCCTCTTGCAGTTCAGGCCCGTACCGTTTTATGGTATCTGGTATTTATCGGCTTTGCCGTCAATTATATGATACGCATCAATTTGAATATTACAATTGTGGAAATGGTTGTATCGACAAAAAGTAAGACGATATCAGCGGCGGCGGCGGCGACAACAACAACATCATCTCCGGCAGCAGCAGTTGCCTCTGAAGCATTTGATGCCTTGGCAGAATTGCCGGCATCATTGCGCTCCGCGTCATCGATGTCTGGTGAAATAAGCGATTATAACACTACAACAATAGCAACAATAACTGCGAAGACTACTGAGGAACTAAATGCTGGCGAACGGTATAATAGCACTTCTTCCGGACATTTGCATGAGAATCTAAAGAATGATGCAGCAGCATCATCGCATGTAAGTCAATGAATTTGGAGGTTAGAATGTGTGGCGATGATGAATGAATGAATAGTTGAATAAATCAGCTGGCAAAGTGACACACCAGTACCTGGTTATTGTTGCTGGTTCCATGGCGCTGATTTAATTTAACATGATAAAATTAATTCATGCACTCACTCACTTGTTCGCACGCTCGCTCACTTAGCCACTTAGGCTAGCGTAATCTGTAATCAATCTTACACCATACACCAGCTAACGAGTAGGCGAGCGGGTTAGTTTAAATTGAAGCCGGTATTTGTTGTTGTAGTTTTGGTTCACTGGCAAGCTGCCGAGAAAAAAAAATAGAACAAATATTGCGGATATTTTTCTTTTTTCATTTTATTAAGTTTTGAATTCGTGATTAGATTTATTTGTGAGAGTTTGGACAATGAATCTCATGGCGAATTAATGCTGATATAGAAATGCGTGGGAGTAATTTATTTGTAGATAAATTTCGGGGAAATAAAACAAAAACAAATTATGGAAACAATTTTTAAAAAATAAAATAATAGAGAGATGAATAAAAATTTTACTAGGTTCGAAGTGATTGCTTTTCAGTTGTATATAAAGGTGAGAAGAGCGCTGCATGTAAACTTCACAGCTGACTGTACCAGAAGTTGGTATTTTTGATCCAACAAATACAAAATATTCAAAAGTATTCCTCTAGGAACCATTAGAATCCAAAATCCAAAAAAATGAAAAATGAGTGCTGCATACTTTTAGGCAAAATCAAGATGTAAAACTCACAGCTGATTCGACCAGAAGTTCACATTTTTGATTCCAAATGTTTAAAAATGTTCACTCAAGGACCATTAGATTCCAATTTTATATAAATATTCTGACTCCAGGTCTTTAAGTCTTTTTATCTCGTCTATAAAGGCTCTCTTCAGCTCCCCTACAAAGACTCCCTTCAGCTCGCCTATGAAGACTCCCTTTATGTCATCTATAAAGGCTATCTTCAGCTCGTCTATAAAGACTCCCTCTATCGCTCGTCTATAAATACTCCAGAGATCAATTAAGATTCCTTCCAGAGATCGTCAATTAAGATTCTTTCCTCAGTTTTCTAGTCTCTTCAGTTCGTCTATAAAGACTCCCTTCAGCTCGTCTATAAAGACTCCCTCTATCGCTCGTCTATAAAGACTCCCTCTATCGCTCGTCTATAAAGACTCCCTCTATCGCTCGTCTATAAAGACTCCCTCTATCGCTCGTCTATAAAGACTCCCACTATCGCTCGTCTATAAAGACTCCCACTATCGCTCGTCTATAAAAACTCCCTCTATCGCTCGTCTATAAACACTCCCTCTTCAGCTCGTCTATAAAGACTCCCTCTTCAGCTCGTCTATAAAGACTCCCTCTTCAGCTCGTCTATAAAGACTCCCTCTTCAGCTCGTCTATAAAGACTCCCTCTTCAGCTCGTCTATAAAGACTCCCTCTTCAGCTCGTCTATAAAGACTCCCTCTTCAGCTCGTCTATAAAGACTCCCTCTTCAGCTCGTCTATAAAGACTCCCTCTTCAGCTCGTCTATAAAGACTCCCTCTATCGCTCGTCTATAAAGACTCCCTCTATCGCTCGTCTATAAAGACTCCCTCTATCGCTCGTCTATAAAGACTCCCTCTATCGCTCGTCTATAAAGACTCCCTCTATCGCTCGTCTATAAAGACTCCCTCTATCGCTCGTCTATAAAGACTCCCTCTATCGCTCGTCTATAAAGACTCCCTCTATCGCTCGCCTTTGAAAAGACTTCCTCCATCGCTCCTCTATATAAAGACTCCCTATATCGCTCGTCTATAAAGACTCCCTATATCGCTCGTCTATAAAGACTCCCTATATCGCTCGTCTATAAAGACTCCCTATATCGCTCGTCTATAAAGACTCCCTATATCGCTCGTCTATAAAGACTCCCTATATCGCTCGTCTATAAAGACTCCCTATATCGCTCGTCTATAAAGACTCCCTTCAGCTAGTCTATAAATACTCCCTCTATCGCTCGCCTATAAAGACTCCTTCTATCGCTCGCCTATAAAGACTCCTTCTATCGCTCGTCTATAAAGACTCCCTCTATCGCTCGTCTATAAAGACTCCCTCTATCGCTCGTCTATAAAGACTCCCTCTATCGCTCGTCTATAAAGACTCCCTCTATCGCTCGTCTATAAAGACTCCCTCTATCGCTCGTCTATAAAGACTCCCTCTATCGCTCGTCTATAAAGACTCCCTCTATCGCTCGTCTATAAAGACTCCCTCTATCGCTCGCCTATAAAGACTCCCTCTATCGTTCGTCTATAAAGACTCCCTCTATCACTCGTCTATAAAGACTCCCTCTATCGCTCGTCTATAAAGACTCCCTGTATCGCTCGTCTATAAAGACTCCCTCTATCGCTCGTCTATAAAGACTCTCTCTTCAGCTCGTCTATAAAGACTCTCTCTATCGCTCGTCTATAAAGACTCCCTCTATCACTCGTCTATAAAGACTCCTTCTATCGCTCGTCTATAAAGACTCCCTCTATTGCTCGTCTATAAAGACTCCCTCTATTGCTCGTCTATAAAGACTCCCTCTATTGCTCGTCTATAAAGACTCCCTCTATTGCTCGTCTATAAAGACTCCCTCTATCGCTCGTCTATAAAGACTCCCTCTATCGCTCGTCTATAAAGACTCCCTCTATCGCTCGTCTATAAAGACTCCCTCTATTGCTCGTCTATAAAGACTCCCTCTATTGCTCGTCTATAAAGACTCCCTCTATTGCTCGTCTATAAAGACTCCCTCTATCGCTCGTCTATAAAGACTCCCTCTATCGCTCGTCTATAAAGACTCCGTCTATCGCTCGTCTATAAAGACTCCCTCTATCGCTCGTCTATAAAGACTCCGTCTATCGCTCGTCTATAAAGACTCCGTCTATCGCTCGTCTATAAAGACTCCCTCTATCGCTCGTCTATAAAGACTCCCTCTATCGCTCGTCTATAAAGACTCCCTCTATCGCTCGTCTATAAAGACTCCGTCTATCGCTCGTCTATAAAGACTCCCTCTATCGCTCGTCTATAAAGACTCCCTCTATCGCTCGTCTATAAAGACTCCCTCTATCGCTCGTCTATAAAGACTCCCTCTATCGCTCGCCTATAAAGACTCCCTCTATCGCTCGTCTATAAAGACTCCCTCTATCGCTCGTCTATAAAGACTCCCTCTATCGCTCGTCTATAAAGACTCCCTCTATCGCTCGTCTATAAAGACTCCCTCTATCGCTCGTCTATAAAGACTCCCTCTATCGCTCGTCTATAAAGACTCCCTCTATCGCTCGTCTATAAAGACTCCCTCTATCGCTCGTCTATAAAGACTCCCTCTATCGCTCGCCTATAAAGACTCCCTCTATCGCTCGTCTATAAAGACTCCCTCTATCGCTCGTCTATAAAGACTCCCTCTATCGCTCGTCTATAAAGACTCCCTCTATCGCTCGTCTATATAGACTTTCTCTATCGCTCGTCTATAAAGACTCCCTCTATCGCTCGTCTATAATGACTCCCTCTATCGCTCGTCTATAAAGACTCCCTCTATCGCTCGTCTATAAAGACTCCCTCTGTCGCTCGTCTATAAAGACTCCCTCTGTCGCTCGTCTATAAAGACTCCCTCTTCAGCTCGTCTATAAAGACTTCCTTCAGCTCGGCTATAAAGGCTCCCTCTTCAGCCTGTCTACAAAAACTTCTTCAGATCTCCTTAAACGCTACCTCCTGATCAAGTATGACAACCCTTTCCGCGTCTATAAAAACTACCTATAATTCCTCTATAAATATTCCCCCCAGAGCTTCTCTACAAAGGCTCCCTCAAGACGCCATCATTAGATCCTCCATAAAGACTCCCTCCATACCTCATTTTTTTGTTATATTGTGAAAGACTGTTGTGTGTTTTTAGGCGTCCTTAATGCAAATACAATCAGCTGATCGTCTCTATTTTTAATTTTAAACCCTACTTTTTTCATTCTTCATTATTTTCAGCTCATTCCCCATGAACAGGTGCGCTTCAATTGGAATGAATACCAGCAGGGTTTAGTATTGGGTTCCTTTTTCTGGGCCCATTGGGTGACACAGATACCTGGTGGTATTTTGGCCAAAAAATATGGTACCAAATTGGTATTTGGTCTGGCAAATGCCATTGGCTGTTGGATGTGTTTCCTGATACCCTATGTATCACATTGGGATTATAGGGCCCTCATAGTACTAAGGGTCCTGCAAGGATTGGTTACGGTAAGTTTTGAGAAATATTCTAAAATATGAAATCCAATATTGTCTATTATCATTTTCAGGGTCTTGCCTGGCCTGCTATGCATGTGTTGACCGCCAAATGGATTCCGCCCAATGAACGCAGTAAATTCGTGACAGCCTATTTGGGTAGTTCGGTGGGCATAGCTGTCTTCTATCCCTTCTTTGGTTACATTATGCATTGGGGTTCATGGATTTGGGTCTATCATTTCTGTGGTATTTTGGGTACCGTGTGGTGGTTCGGTTGGCTTTTCTTTGTCTATGATTCACCGGCTCAACATCCACGTATTAGTGAATCGGAAGTGAGATATATTGAAAAGTCGCTGGGTGCATCGGTTCATAGTGCCAAGGCTGTGGGGACACCATGGAAGGAAATTTTACTTTCCCGTCCGGTGTGGATGAATGTCATTGCCCAATGGGGTGGTATATGGGGCTTGTTTACGCTAATGACTCAAGCTCCGACATATTTCCGTGTCATACACAATTGGAATATTCGAGCGGTATGTGAGAGGAGGTGCTTGACAGGTTTTAAGAGATTTTAATTTTGTTTTGGAATATTTTTTTTTCAGACTGGCATATTATCTGGCCTGCCCCATTTGATGCGCATGATTTTCGCCTATTTCTTTTCCTTATTTGCCGATTATCTGCTAAGGACAGAGAAAATGAGCCGAACAAATCTGAGGAAATTGGCAACGGCAATTTGTAAGTTCTAGATTTAAAAAATGGGATACAGTAATGGTTGCCTGAGGTATTTTTTCTATAGAAGTCGGATTTTTTTTCTATAGAAAAAATACCTCAGGATCTGAAGTCGGATTTTTTATAAAATCTCTAAAACTGAGGTCGGAATTTTTTCTGTAGAAAAAAAGTCACCTCAGGAGCTGAGGTCGGAATTTTTTCCATAGAAAAAAAGTCACCTCAGGAGCTGAGGTTGGATTTTTTTCTATAGAAAAAAAAGTCACCTCAGGAGCTGAGGTCGGATTTTGTCTATAGAAAAAAGTCACCCCGGGAGCTGAGGTCGGATTTTTTTCTATAGAAAAAAAAGTCACCTCAGGAGCTGAGGTTGGATTTTTTTTCTATAGAAAAAAAGTCACCTCAGGAGCTGAGGTCGGTAGAAGAAAAGTCACCTCAGGAACTGAGGTTGGATTTTTTTCTATAGAAAAAATAACCTCTGGAATGAGGACGGATTTTTTTTTTGGAAAAAAGTCACCCCGGGAGCTGAGGTCGGATTTTTTTCTACACTAAAAAAATATTTTTAAAAAATCGACGGTTTTTCAATTTCTGAACATTATAACGAGTGGTTTTATCTAAGGCTGAAGTAAGCTCAGTCGCTGCCAGGGTCAACCTAAGGACCCACAAACCATAAGTAAAAACACGAGTGATTACAATTTCAATCTTTATTATAATACTCTGGTGTTTACAATATGAATACAGTATTTTTCGGTTAATTGAACCTACGGTTAATTGGTTTCCACGCTTAATTGAACCACATGATGGGTCAAAAATATTTCATTTCAAAGTAAGCGGGTTCGGATAATTGGTTCCTCGGTTAATTGAACAAAAATTTGTGCAAATTTTGATGTGCAATTAACCGAAAAATACTGTAATAGTCTGGAGGTGAGATAAGCTTTTATGTTGGAATCTTCTAATCGGTAATGGTAGCTGGGTGTGGACGTCGGATCGTTAATAGTCGGCTGGTTACAGTCGGCTCGGGGGTGGTTAAGTCGGCTCGCAACTAATTGGCTGGTTGGTATTCGGGTTGTACGGCTGGTTACAGTCGGCTTGAAGACACTCGGCTAGCTGATGTCGGTACGTTGGAGATCGGCTGGCTACAGTCGGCTCGTTGGGGATCGGCTGGTTACAGTCGGTTCGAAGATACTCGGCTAGCTGATATCCGCTCGTTGAAGATCGGCTGGCTACAGTCGGCTCGTTGAGGATCGGCTAGCTGCTGTCGGTACGTTGGAGATCGACTGGCTACAGACGGCTCGAAGATACTCGGCTAGCTGATGTCGGCTCGTTGAAGATCGGCTGGCTACAGTCGGCTCGTTGAGGATCGGCTAGCTGCTGTCGGTACGTTGGAGATCGGCTGGCTACAGTCGGCTCGAAGATACTCGGTTAGCTGATGTCGGCTCGTTGAAGATCGGCTGGCTACAGTCGGCTCGTTGAGGATCGGCTAGCTGCTGTCGGTACGTTGGAGATCGGCTGGCTACAGTCGGCTCGAAGATACTCGGCTAGCTGATGTCGGCTCGTTGGTGTTCGGTTGGATGCAATCGGCTCGTAGGTACTCGGTTTGCTACAGTCGGCTCGTTGGTGTTCGGTTGGATGCAATCGGCTCGTAGGTACTCGGCTTGCTACAGTCGGCTCGTTGAAGATCGGTTGGATGTAATCGGCTCTCGGCTTGCTACAGTCGGCTCGTCGGGGATCAGGGCAGGATACAGTCGACTCGTTGTTGGTCGGCAGGTTCGGGGTTTTCAGGGTTCGGGTTTGTCAGGGTTCGGTTAGTAGTTATTAGTACGGAGCTAGCTATGAGCGGGGGAGCTAGCTATGAGCGGGGAGCTAGCTATGAGCAGGGAGCTAGCTATGAGCGGGGAGCTGGCTATGAGCGAGGAGCTTGCAAAGAGCGAGGAGCTGGCAAAGAGCGGGAGCTTGCAAAGAGCGAGGAGCTGGCTATGAGCGAGGAGCTGGCTATGAGCGAGGAGCTGGCTATGAGCGAGGAGCTGGCAAAGAGCGGGGAGCTGGCTATGAGCGAGGAGCTGGCTATGAGCGAGGAGCTTGCAAAGAGCGAGGAGCTGGCTATGAGCGAGGAGCTTGCAAAGAGCGAGGAGCTGGCAAGGAGCGAGGAGCTGGCAAAGAGCGGGAGAGCTGGCTATGAGCGAGGAGCTGGCAAAGAGCGGGGGAGCTGGCTATGAGCGAGGCCGAATCGTCGTTAACATTCACCAGTATACGAGACTGCGGACAAGCCACACATCTTCGTCACTCGTAGTTCGGTAACGTCCGAGGTCGACCACTTCGGCATGGCAAAGTGGAACATATAACCGTATGGTACTATGAAGTGAATGAGAATTATTGTGTACTTCAAAGAAGTTGTCTGTTATTTAATGCAATGAAGTTGAAGTACGCAGGTAATGATACTGGCTTAGGTTTAGGGTGAGACGTTATTTACTACTAAATATTGAGGTGGGTTGACATTAACTGGGGTCGTGCATAATGTATGAAACGGTCACGTTACAACATTTTTTTATTAATTTTTTCCCTTATCGCTTCTAGGTTGCATTGTCAAGGGTCTGGTGGTGGTGGCCTTGGCCTATTTCGGCCACAATTCTACGGCAGCCATTGTCCTTCTCACCGTGGCAACAATGTTCCATGGTGCAGTGTCATCGGGCCCCCTGGCCTCTATTGTGGATATTGCACCCAATTTTGCGGGGATTGTGTTGGGTATTAGTGGCATGATTGGTGTGCTGCCGGGATTCATATCACCCTATATTGTGGGCGTATTGACCCTGGGAAATGTAAGGCGGATATTCTATAAAAATTTTCAGTAATTAAAAAAATTAATAATTTTTTGTTTCTTTTACAGCAAACCTTTGAATCCTGGAAATATGTCTTCCTAATATGTGCCGCCATGCTAATTGGCAGCGGTGTCCTGTATGTCCTCTTCGCCGAATCCACATTACAGAAGTGGAATGACTATAACTCCCGGGCGGATGACAAGGAGTTAATGCAGCTAACCAAAGATGATTTAATTACGGCAAAAGTCAATCTAAATAAGACTGAAGACATTAAGGCGGAGAGTGAAGTGGCGGACGAGGAGAAAGTTCAAAATACCTCAGGTTAATTAAGAAACGAAACAGTCAGGAGAAGTTAGGTTAATTAGCGGACAGAAACACAAACAGGTTGCAAATGTTTTTTTTTGTGATATTAAGTGTATTATTTTCGTTTTTTATTTTATTAATTATAATTCAACATACATACCTTACATACATACATAATTCTATTTAATTGTTTACTTAAAAACAAGACAGTATTTATTTTCACGGTGATAAAAATTTAAAACCTGAGCCACCTTCCAAACAAAATAGTTACCCTTTTTTTTTTTATTTTGATAAACTCTATCTCTGGAAAGCCATTTTGATCTTGGTGTCACAAATTTTATCACATTGTAAATTATCAGGAGGTGGGTCTAATCTGGAGATTAGTTTTGAAAGTGATTTTGAGTTAGAGAAAGACAAACAAGCAAATAGATACGGAAAACAGAGCTATCAAACATATGATAATACAGGTAGAACAATAATGTAATTGTTGTTTGTTTTTGTTTTTTTTTTTTATTATAAATTTGTTTTAAAATTTAATAAATGTTTCAGAAAAATAAAAAAAAATCTCTTTGTCACCTAACCTTTATTTGGATATGTCAGTTCCATTTCCCCCTCCTTAAAAAGATAATCGCTTAAGAGTTATGATTATCAAAAAAAAAAAAAAAAAAAAAATGGAAACAAATTTGAAACGTTATTGTAGGTCATTTACTTCTCGAACAATCTCAAGACGTAGTATGGTCGTTGTGAGTGAGTGTTTTTAATTATTTTATTGTTGTTATCTATAAAAAGAAAATAATAATAATAAAACCAGTAAGGAAAGTAGTAAAGTCGGACGGGGCCGAATATATGATACCCTTCACCACTATGGGTATATTAAACAGGACTATTAACATGAAATATATATATGGGAGCGATATAGACCGATTTTCTCGAAACTTGGCAGACATCACTCTAGGCTCAATTCAGTACGTTATGCCAAATTTCGTGCCAATCGAAAGATATATAGGGACTTTGGGGCACCATTTACATGAAATCGGACGAAACTATATATGGGAGCTATATCTAAATCAGGACCGATTTTCACGAAACTTGGCAGACATCACTCTAGGCTTAATTCAGTACGATATGCCAAATTTCGTGCAAATCGAAAGATATTTAGGGACTTTGGGCACCATTTACATGAAATCGGAGGAAACTATATATGGGAGGTATATCTAAATCTGAACCGATTTTCTCAAAACTCGGCAGACATCACTCTAGGATCAATTCCGTACGTTATGCCAAATTTCGTGCAAATCGAAAGATATATAGGTACTTTGGGGCACCATTTACATGAAATCGGACGAAACTATACATGGAAGCTATATCTAAATTTAGATCGATTTTCTCGAAACTTGGCAGACATCACTCTAGGCTTAATTCAGTACGATATGCCAAATTTCGTGCCAATCGAAAGACATATAGGGACTTTGGGAAACCATTTACATGAAATCGGACGAAACTATATATGGGAGGTATATCTAAATCTGAACCGATTTTCTTAAAACTTGGCAGACATCACTCTAGACTCAATTCAGTACGTTATGCCAAATTTCGTGCAAATCGAAAGATATATAGGGACTTTGGTGCACCATTTACATGAAATCGGACGAAACTATATATGGGAGCTATATCTAAATCTGAACCGATTTTCACGAAACTTGGCAGACATCATTCTGGGCTCAATTAAGTATGTTATGCCAAAATTGGTGCAAATCGAAATATATATAGGGACTTTTGATGCACCATTTACATGAAATCGGACGAAACTATATATGGGAGCTATATCTAAATCTGGACCGATTTTCACGAAACTTGGCAGACATCATTCTAGACCTAAATGATTAGGCTGTACCAAATTTCGTGCAAATCGAAAGATATATGTGGACTTTGGTGCACCATTTACATGAAATCGGACGAAACTATATATGGGAGCTATATCTAAATCTGGACCGATTTTCATGAAACTTGGCAGACATCATTCTAGACCTAAATGATTAGGCTGTACCAAATTTCGTGCAAATCGAAAGATATATAGGGACCGTTTACATTTAATCGGTTAAATATATATATGGGAGCTATATCTAAATCTGAACCGATTTTTCCCAATTTCAATAGGGTTCGTCCTTAGGGCGAATAAGTGACCTATGCCAAATTTCATCCAATTCGGATCATAAATGCGACCTGTACTTTGTTTACAATTTAACATGGACAGACAGACGGACGGACGGACGGACATGCATAAATCGACTTAAAAAGTGATTCTATGCATATTCTCAAAAGGAACCATGTGTCTATCTCGTGTCCTTTTGCCTGTTACAAACATATGCACAAAGACATAATACCCTGTACCACAGTGTGGTGAAGGGTATAAAAATAGGCAGTAGCGGAAAAAAGAAGTATTATAAACATCATATGCTACTCAAACATCTAATCGGCATTTTTTGGGAGGAGGAGAAATGAGGGTCTGAGAGTCTGAAGATGTGTTTAACGATGAGATATAGAGGGAGTCTTTATAGGATAGCTGTAGGGAGTCATTATGATGGCTAATGACTGATGGCTGTCTACTGCGATCAGCTGATGATTGTCTATATCGATCAGCTGACAGCCATCAACTTATATATGGAGAACAGCTGATGACTTTCGTTATAGACCAGTAGATCCACTGTCCCTGTAAATCAGCTGATGTCTACTTTTATAGACCATCTGATGTGTGTCTACATAGAACAGCTGATGGTTGTTCTATCAAGCAGGCATAATTTTCTAATGGCCAGTGCTCTTTGTTGCCTAGTCCAAGCGGCAACGGATATTAAGTTAGTTAGCGATAGTCTTTTCCACGAAACACATGTCGAAAGGTTAATACGGGCCAACTATAGGCCTCCGAGCCAGTTTACACATTTTGAATGAAGAAGGTATTTTATATATATAGAGATGATCAGCTCCTCTTCTATCATCGTTGGTTTGAGACACTTGATATAGGTAGTACCGTTTACAGCACATTTCAGTAGCGGGTAAATCGATCTTACTTGTATATCTTGTACATAAATCCTCCTCCTCCCAAGCCTCTGTAAATATTCCTTGCCTCAAATCGGCGTCCTACTTAAGTTTTTATTTAGACCAAGCGGAAACCATACATAATGATTTAGTTAGAGATAGCCTTATGCACGAACCAGATGCCGAAAAGTTAATTCGAGCCAACTATAGGTCTCTGAACAGTTTAACCACTTTGAATGAAAAAGATCTTTTATATAGAGATGACCAGCTCCTATTCTATCATCGTAGGTTTTGGGACACTTGATATAGGTAGTACCGTTGATAGCCAATTTCAGTGGAGGGTAAAGCGTCCTTACTTGTATATATTATAAATAAATTCTACCTCTCTCAAACACCTGTAAATATTCCTTGCTTCAAATTCAAATAAATAGATCCCACAATATTTAGATTTAGTTTTAAACTTAGTATTTTATAAGTAAATATATAAAAAAATCGATATGGACTCCTTTTTCAACATCTTTTTTTAGGAGATAATATAATTATTAAAATTGTTATGATAGCTAAAGACAGTTGAAGTCTGTCTACCACGATCAGCTGATGGTTGTCTATATAGATCAGCTGATAACTGTGTCTATGTATATCAACTGATGCCTGTCTCTATAAACCAGCTGATCGTAGTCTCTATAGAGCAGCTGATGGCTATCACTATAGATCAGCAGACCGTCCCTGATGTCTCTGAAAACCAGCTGATGTCTACCTTTTTAGGCTGTCAATATAGACCAACTGATGACTGTCCTCCATCGAACAGCTGATTACAGTCTCTATCGAACAGCTGGTGGTTGTCTCTATAGAACAGCTGCTGACTGTCCAAATAAAACTAACGAAACTGCTGATGACTGTCTATATAGACCAACTGACGACTGTCTTTATAGAACAGCTGATTACTGTATGCATATAGCACAGGAGGTGGGAGACTATATAGACCACAGCAGCCATGTCAAGCCAAAATTCGGATTGACTGCACTGTCAGGAGAGAAATTTCAGTATATAAAACAACGTCCCCTCTAGTTAAATTTTCAGCTGACCTCACTACTAATGGAACTCATATATGCGATAAAATAGCAAATCCGCATGTCCTGACGGAATCACTGACTTTGTGTTAAGAAAGACCACTAGTACTGCATTGAATCACATTTCAATTATCTTCAATCTTGGAAAGTGCCAATAAATATACCCATAAATGACTCGGACAATCTAAATAACCGGCAGATAACTATCGCTGTTAGATTTAATTTAGCCAAGGTATTAGATAGTGTTTGGCAAATCGCAATCATATATAAAATGAGAAGGCTAGGCTTTGAATTTAATATATGTGGGCTTGTGGCTAGTTTTCCAGCCGACAGGAGTTTTAAGGTAACGGTTGAAGAGAAATTTTCGTCAGAAAAGGTAGTTAATGCCAGGGTTCAAAAAGAATCTCTCCTTGGACCCGTTCTCTTCAACATTTTTATTAGTGATATGCCGCATGCATCCAATGGGCGTTTGCTCTCATGCAGGAAATACTAATGACAGACTAAATGCATATTTGGAGCAACTCCCTCTCTCTGAATACTTCTAAACTTGGAAAATACATCTAAATGTCGATAAATGTAAGGCGATAACCATCAAAGGCAAGAAGAAATATGTATACCGCAGTGCAGGACCTACTCTGGCGATTGAAGGGCAAACAACCCAGATTAAATATCTGAGAGTTATCTGAAATAGTAAATTTGAATTTGACGGGGAATATTGACTACCTTCTCGGGAAATTCAAAGGCATATTTTGGTGCTACCAGCGTGCTATCAAAGCAACTTGTGGACTCAATGTAAAGGTTAGATTATGTATCTACAAACAAATAATATGTCTTCCCTGTTTGGTTTGCGATCTATTTTCCACCAATTACTCTTTGAGTACGCAGATGTAGACATGCAGGGAATATTAATGACAGACTAA